AGGGGAACCTGGGGTGAGGAATATTACAAAATAAACAAGGGGCACAGTCGCTATTAGGAGAATTGGGGGGGGGGTTGGATTAGGAAGTGGATGAGCTGGGAGAAGGGAAAGGAGACAGGCTTCCAGCCCAAAGTTAAACTGGGTGATCCCCTCCAGAATGGAATGACTGGTCATTTTAGCTCCGAGGTGGCACCCAGAAAGCATGAAGTGGAAAAGTAAACAGAGCTGAGCCTGGCAAACACTCATGAGAGCCCCTGCCCTTTCCTCTGCCACTCACAAGGCTCTTACTCTAAAGGAAACCTTGCCTGAAGACAAAGAGAGACTTGAAATTTCTCCTTCCACATTTAGGAAAACAGATACTATTCCATTGCTAAAAGAATTCTGGCCGTCTGAGGCTTAGGTATTGTGAAAGTCCTTGAAAGAATCGACTGGTGATAATTGAGGTACGTGGAGTTTCACTTGCTGGAGTGTAAGCTGAGGGACTGCTTCCTCATCTGTGAAACAAAGGGGTTAGACTGGATGTGGCCAGCTGTGAACGGACCATTCTATGTCCCAGTGCCTGGCACACAGCGTGCACTTAGTGAATTCTTCATTGGTTAATAGAATGTAAGCCCCTTGAGGGAGGAACTGTTCATTTTTAGGTCTGTGAGCCCAGCACCTAGTATAGTGTCTGGCACATAGCAGCAAGTGCACAATAGTTAATCAATAAACATTTATTAAGCACCTACTATGTGTCAGACACTATGCTAAGTGCTGGGGATGAAAAAAGAGACAGAAGTCCATGATTGATAGAATGTAAGCTTCTTAAGAGCAGGGAGCATTTCATTTTGCTGTTGCATTCCCAGTATTTGGTACAAAACAGATGCTTAACAATTTGTTACTCGTTGCATTAACCCTTGGGGGTTCCTCGCACAGAGTTCCCTCATTTGGAATAGTGAAAGCACTCTGTGGAGAGTCCAATGGCTTAGCAGAATCAGGTTGTGAGTTCACTTCAATGCAACTCAGCTGTGTGACCCTGGGCAAAGGACTCAGCATCTCTGCGCTTCAGTTCCCTCATCTGTAAAACAGGGATGAGGATCCCAGCACCACACAGTGTCATTGGGAGCAAGGTATTTTGTTTAGAGTATGGTAGAAATGTGCCTTGTTATTGTTTAAGTTAATTAGACAGTGATTTCTCTGCCTTACACATACTTCCTAAGGTCCTTTATGCCTAGACTTACTTAAGGATTTTGAAGCCAGGTCTGCTATTTTAAAAAGCAGGTAGTATTTTAATCAAAATTCCCAAGACAAGCACATAGGTATATTTTCATAGGTATATACAGTAAACAGCTTTGAAGCTAGATGAAGGAGGGACCATTAGCTGTTAAGGGGATCAAGGACATTTTCATGGAAGAGGAGAGCTAGTCCTTGGGATTATAAGAATTTTAGAAGACAGAGGTTATGTTTTTGAGCCACGGAAGGGGACAGCATTCCAGGCAGATAGAGCTGTGTTTGTAGAAAGTGTCAGATGACAGTACAGAGAATAAGCATGGGAGCTGGCCTTGAATGAACATGCCCGGTTTGCATCCTAGCTCGGCCATTCCCTAGACTTATGATATGGGCAAATTGTTGAATTTCTCTGACCCTCAGTTTTTGTAAAATAGGAATAATACTTGATGGGGGAAAGGGAGAGATGGTGACGTGGCGGAGAGGGTACTGCCGTCAGAGTCTGGAAAAGCTGGGTTCAAATCCTACTTCTCATACTTAATAGCTAAGTGACCTTTGGCAAGGCACTTGACATCTTAGCCTCAGTTTCCTCATCTAGACCTCCGTTAGAGAATGCTTTGTAAGCCTCCTAGCCTTATTCAAATATTGGCGGTCACTATTGTTAGTATTTCCTATTAATTCTTGGGATCATAGATATTAAACCAGAAAGGACCTTAGAACCCAAACTCCACATTTTATAGATGAGGAAACCGAGGCACAAAAGGGTTAAGTGACTGGCATCGATAGGGTCATACAGTTGTGAGGAAAGTACCCTGGCATCATATATAGATGTGAGCTGTTGGCAGTAGTAATGAGAATCCATGTATAGTGATGATGTCACTGCCCCTGACCAGAGGGGCAGCTTGGGACAGTAGAGGGAATGCTGAAATGGGAGTCAGCACCAGGGTTCTGATCCTGCCTTTGACACTTACAGGATTTGGGGCAAATTACTTCTCTGGGCCTCAGTGAGAGGGTTGCTTTGTTTCATTTCAACTCCAGATGGGTGAACCTGTGATTCTCTGTCTGGACTGTTGTGTTCAGGCATAGGAGGACCACGTTTTATGAGGGATATTTACCAACTGCAGTGTGCCTGTTAAGAGCTGATTCAGAAGGTGAAGGGCTGGAGACCAGGTGATGGTTTCTGTCCCATGCCAAAACAGTCCTCCCCCCTCCCTTACTCCGCTTCTCTGAACCCCTTGTTTTCTTCAGACCTAAGATCCAAAGCTCTGTCCTCCCCATAGAACCTTGATCCCCTCTGGCTGCTAATGTCCCTCCGCCCTCCCCAAATCACCTTGTATCTGTTTGCTTGTACTTTAAACATACCTATATAGAGAGAGATATATGTATATCTCTCTCTATATGTGTGTGTATATAATATGTGTGTGTGTGTGTGTGTGTTGTCTCCCCTGAATGCTTCACTTTTATCTGTGTGTCTCCAGCACCTAACACAGTGCCTGGCACATATTTGGGACTTAATAATTGCTTCCTGATTGATTAGTTGATCTGTTTAGGGCAGCAAGGTGATGATACCGCTACTAGGCTTACAGCCCAAGAGGTAAAGAAGGAGGAAAAGGCTCTATATGTACAAAAAACGCTTTTGTACTCTTGCTGTGGTGGCAAAGAATTGGAAGCTCAGCTTGTGCCCATCAGTTGGGGAGTGGCTGACCAAATTATGACATTTATATTGTGCCACATGAGGTGATGAAAGGGAAGGTTTCACAGAAATTCTGGAAGGTTTGGATGAATAGATGAAGAGGTGAAGCGAGCAGGACCAGGAGTCAGTCAGCCTCTGTTAGGTGTCAGGCACTGTGCTAAGCCCTGAGGGTGCAAAGAAGGGCTGAAAACGAACAAGCAGTTCCTGCCCCCAAGCAGTTCAGTCTACTGGGGGGCATGCAAACGACTCTACAAACAAGCCATCTTGTTGCTCAGTCATGTCCAACTCTTTGTGACCCTGTGGATTATTTTTTCCATGGGATTTTCTTGGCAAAGATACTGGAGTGGTTTGCTGTTTCCTTCTCTGCAGAATAACCTTTTTTGGGGGGAGAGTGTCAGTGCCGTCTCCACTCTGACCTGTCCATCGTGGGTAACCCAGGATGGCATAGCTCATAGTTTCATGAGCTGTAGGAGCCCCTCCTCCACAACAAAGCAGTGGTGCTGGAGGGGCTTTTTAGGCAAACAGGAGTGGAGTGACTTGCCCATGGTCACAAAGCTAGTAAATATCAGGGGCTGGATTTGAGCTTAGGTCTTCATGTTTCCAGGACCAGCACTCTACCCACTTTGCCAGCTAGCTGCTTCCACAGACAAGCCTTAGACAAGAAAAACTGGAGGTAATCTCAGAGGGAAGGCACTAAGGTTAAGAACGAACGATTTAAACAGTGGCCATCACGTTGAAAGTCTTTAGAACGTGGATCAGTGAACCAGCAGTGGCACATGTCCACCTCCTGATAGAGAGGTGCTGGCGGGGAGGAGGGGGCACTGAAGAATCGTCCAGGGAAGCAGGGCTGTTTGTCTTGACTCGAGTCCATGGCTGCCTGTGGGTATTGGCACAACTGTCATGTGGAAGAGGGAGAAGCTGGTTCTACCTGCCCGAGAAGGCCGAGCCCTGCACAGCCAGTAGAAGTTGCCAAGAGCCAGCCGTCTGCTGGATGTGGGGTTATGCCGTCCAACAGTCCCATTCCCTAGAAGAGAAGTGGGCTCCTGCATTCAAAATCATAAGATCATCGATGTAGAGCCGGGAGGGATCGTAGAGGACTTCAAATCCAGATTTATCAGTGAGGGAACTAAGGCACAGAAAAGTGAAGAAACAGCCAGAGTAGAGCAGGACTTGAACTCGGACTCCTTACTCCAAGTCTAGTCTGCTGTTCATGAAGCCAGGAAGCCATTTGTAGAAGAGTTGAAGGTATTCCCACTTAGGTGTAATTTGGACTAAAATCATGATCATCAAGATTAAGATTGATTAATAAAGTATTATTAATTATATGTAATTATTAACAATTGGATAATAGGAGTAGTAGTAATAATAGCTAATACTTGTGTAGTGCTAGCTATGTTCCAGACACTGTGCTAAGCACTTTGCAGCAACCCTGGGAGGTAGGCTCTGTGATTATCCCCGTTTCACAGATGAGGAAACTGAGGCAGAGGTTAGGTCACTTGTCCAGGGTCATACAGCTAGTAAGTGTCTGAGACAGGATTTGAACCTGGTGCTCTCTCCATTCCCTTTCTCACCTTAGTCATTTACGGACTTAGAACTGAAACGGGTCTTAGAGGGCGTCTTGTCTCCCCCGATTTTATTCAGGAGGAAACTAAAGCCCGAAGGATTGTGTGATTTGTCTCAGGTAGCCGCAGGCAGAGCTGGCGATGGGGCCTTTCAGCTCTGGACACGGCACGTTTGCCTCTGAGTTTCCTGGCTGCTTTTGTGGGCAGTGTCTGACCTCCCGGCTCTCTCCACAGTGGCGCAAAGCTCTTATGCCTTGTTTTCTAAGAGGCGGCTGGGGGTGGCTCCATAGCGCACAAAGTGCTGGGCCTGAAGTTTGAGAGGACCTGAGTTCAAATGTAGTCGCAGACATTTGCTATGACCTAGGCAAGTCATTTCCCTTCTGCCTGCCTCGGTTTCCTCATCTGTGAAATGGGGATAATAATAGCATTTACTTTGCAGGTATGAGGATTGAGTGCGGTATTTGCAAATGCCCACTTAGCACAGTGCCTGGCACGTTGTAAGCACTAGATAAATACTTATTCTCTCTCTTTCGGTTTAGGCTTTCCTCGGACGTTAACACAGGCTGAAGCCCTGGACCAAATCTGTCAGCCGGACCTCGTGATCAGCTTGAACATTCCATTTGAAACGCTCAAAGACCGCCTCAGCCGGCGGTGGATTCATCCTTCCAGCGGGAGGGTCTACAACCAGGAATTCAACCCCCCTCAAGTACAGGTGAGGGAGGCGGGTGCTGGCTGTCTGTGGGCTTCAGGGGATCATTTTACAGAAGAGGAAACTGAGGCCGTGGGAAGCAGGTAAGTGGGCCGCCTGGTCTACACCTCTCATTTCACAGATGAAGAAACTGAACGTCAAGGCAGGTCAAGGTCACGTAGGTGTCCGACCCAGGTCTTCCTGATTCTAGGGTCTCCTTTTAACATGGTGCCTCATTGCTTCCTAAGAGATTCTTCCAAGTAGCTGCGATTTAGCCTGACCTGGCGTCTGTCTCTTGAAACACTAGTTAGATGGTTCGATTGTAAGCCCCTTGTGGGCAAGGACTTTCTCTTGCCTCTTTTCATATCCACAACGCTTAGCACAGCAGCTGGTGTGAAACAGGCACTTCGTGTTTATTGATTGATTAGAATGCCACTTGGTACACTGAGCTGCTTTGAAATTGTAATGGGGTAAAAGTAAGACCTAAGAGAGGGGCAGCCAGGGCTGCCATAGTGCACGGAGCACCAGGCCTAGAGTCAGAAAGACTCATCTTCCTGAGTTCAAATCTGGCCTCAGACTCTTACTAGCTGTGGGAGCCTGGGCAAGTCACTTCACCTTGTTTGCCTCAGTTTCCTCATTTGTAAAAAGGGTTAGAGGAGGAAATGGCAAACTACTCCAGGATCTTTGCAAAAAAACCCAAACCCAAGTGAGGTCATGAAGAGTCGGCCATGGCCTGGAATTCCTGAACAAGACACGGGATAAAACATTTCCCCCCTTTGCTCCCGTGTCCCTTTTGGCGCTCTCTCCTTCTCCTCCTCTCTGCCTCTGTGTGTGTCCCTCTGTTCGTCTGTCTCTTCCTCTCTCTTTGTCTCTCTCTCTCTCTTTCTTGTTCTCCCTTTGCCAAAGTATAATTATTGTTATTTAACACGGCCATTCTTCTTTTTGGAGTCCTTTTCAGTCTTATTGGCCTAATTTTTAGCATGTTTTATTTCCATGGTAACATTTGTAACCTTGTTGAGTTTCTTTTCTGTGGTCTTTATTCTTAGATTTCCTTTCATTGGCCAGCTCACGATTCTCCCTAAACTTGAGTGTTTTTAGGGATTATTTCCCTTCTGTTTCACTACTGCCTTGTATAGCTCGCGGGCTGGGCCCTGCCAGACAGGAGTCATCTGTAAATTGGTTTTTCTCTCGTGTCAAAGTTCGAGTGGCCGTGTCTCCTAAGAGGCCTCCTTGATTCCATTTCTCTTTTCTTCTTTCTGGTCATTCACGGTTTCCTCTCCTCGCCCCACACCGTGGCTGGTCTCTTTTCGCTGACCACAGCTGATTCTATCTCTGAAATATCCAGGCATGCCCTGATCGTCTCCTGTCTGCTGCCTCGGTCTTCTGGGCACAGTCTGCTCTGTTCCCTCCTGAAAGATTAAGACTTCAAGGCTGAAAGGAGAATTCCAGCATCCTCAAGACTTGCGTCTTTCTTTGTCACTGATGTGGAAGACCAAAGCTTCATCTCGGTGGGCAGTTAAGAATGGTTTCATCACCAGCTCGTCTGTAACCTTTTGACGACAGACCTCTGCTGTCCAACTCAGAATGTCCTCATATTTCTCAAAATGACAGCTCACTGCTGAGAGTATTTATGGATCTGATTTTTTATTCAATTACCAAAAGCACTGAATTGGATTTTCTCTTGCTGGTTGGCCTGGTATTATATGGAAGTGCTCCCAGAATTTTTGCCCAGCGTCGAGGAATCAAGGAGAGCTCTATCTTTTCTTGGTCAGTGTCGGAGATGGGGGAGGGGGCAGGAATATTTCTTAAAATTGATTTTAAATGCCTTTTCCTCTGTAAAGTGCTACTCTGTGATTTCCTCCTGGCCTCTGCCAGTGGAGCTCAGGGGGGCTCTTTTATGCTGGGGAGGCTCTGAAGGTAGCCCAGGCAGCAGACAAGGAGGATCCGTCACTTGCTGGTGAATTATTTGGCCATGGTGACCCAAAAAACTGAACTAAATATAAAATGGCCCCTGGTCCTTCAAGCCCCCCTTCCTCTTCAGCAATATCAGTAGGGGAAGGGGGGGGAATAGGGTACAAAGAATTGTGCAGATTTTAGGATTAAATATAAAATATTAATAATAAAAAAAATATTATAAATGGGAATCTAGCCTTTGGCAGCTGGGTAGTACAGTGGATAGAACACTAGACCTGGAGTCAGAAAAACTTGAGTTCAAATCTGGCCTCAGACACTTAGTAGCTATATGGCTTTGGGCAGGTCATTTAACTACTATTTGTCTCAGTTTCCTCAACTTTAAAATGGGGGTAATATTGTATCCACCTCCCAGGGTGGTTGTGAGGATCAAATGAGATCATATCTGTAAAGTGCCTAGCCCGGTGCCTGGCCTGTAGTAGGCACTGTAAAAATGCTAGCTATTTTTTTCTATTGTTGTTATTGTTGCTGTTATATTCTCCGTGTGAAATCCTTGTCCAGTGACCAGAAACAGCGCACACTTTTGGAAAATGGAATCGTATTAATCCTGACATTTTTTAGAAATACACTAGGAGACAAAGATGAAGTTTTTGCTAAGCAGAAAGATGGTGTATGGGTGCCCGAGGTAGGATTCACACTCAAATCTTCCTACCTTCAAGTCCAACACTCCACTCAGTGTGTCACCGGTGACAGAAGAATAAGTGAGTGATTTTTTTAATTCTTCCAGTTTTGGAAGGTTTTGGATACACCGAGTTACAGAAAAAACAATGCAGCATCCCTAGTGAGTGGCCACCCAGCCTGGGCTTGAAGACGTCTGCGGAGGGCAAACCTGCCCTCTCCTGAGGCAGCATCACACCTTGGGACAGTTCCAGGGGCCACCACGTTGGCCAGCCTAAATCTCCTCTGTATACTCATTGCTCCCAGTTCTGCTGCTGGGGCCAAGCACGTCCCTCTTCCTGTTGGCAGTCCTGAAAGACAGCTCTCATTTTGTGCCCACCCATGCCCTCCCAAGCTCTCCTTCCGTAGTTTAACATCCCCAGTTCTTTCTTCTGTTTTCGGTCTTCATATGACAAAGCCCATCTGGCTTCACTGTTTTCCACCAGTAGAATGTAAGTTCCTTGAGGGCAAGGCTTGTTTTGTTTTTGTCTTTGTATTGGGATGTGATTGGCACTCAGTGCAAAGTTGCCCTCCTGCCTCCCTTTACTTCCCGGGCCTAAGTGCTCTCTTCAGTGGGTGCTTGTAGAATGTGATGCCAAAGTCATGGATGCACAGGTAGAAGCCGGGCCTCTTTAACCTGCTTTTTCCTGCATTTCCAGGGAGTTGATGACGTCACTGGTGAGCCTTTGATCCAACAAGAAGATGATAAACCCGAGGCTGTTGCTGCCAAGCTGAGACAGTACAAGGAGGTTGCAAAGCCTGTTATAGAATTATACAAGTGAGTGTTTCTGTTCTCAGCATCCCCATCTCCTCTCAGGAGGAGTGAACTCTGGGTCAGATCAGCGAAGCTGCAAGTCAGAGCTGCCCCCCAGCCCGGGATGTGCCTGAGAAGCTGATCAGTGCCTTACCTGGTGCTTACTATGTGCCTGGAACGCAGGAGGCACTTCACTGATTTTTACTGAATTGAGTTGCCTGGCAGGGAATTGGAAACTGACAATAATAATGACGATAATGATGATGATAATAATAACAACTGACATTCATTTAGTTTTCTTCTCGGAGGCAGTGGGTTTAGAGTGAGGGAACCTGAATTCCGGTCTCGACTTGGCTACTCTTCCTGCCTTAGTGTTCTTGGGCATATCACTTAACCTCTTTGGTCCTCGGTTTCCTCACGTGAGAAACGGGAGGGAGAGTTAGACCAGACAGTAGGTTGGTGCCACAAATGGGGATGGAGGTGTGAATTTCTACAGGTGAGGATACCGAGGCTCAGAGACATCGGACTTATCCAAGGTCACTGGTTTGTAAGTGTTAGAGGTAGAATTCGAATCTGGGGCTTTCGTGACTGCAAGTTCAGACGTCTGGCTCTTTTGCCATATTCCCTTTCAGCTTCTTAAAGTCCAGAATTAAAATACAAATGAAGATAAACAGATAAAATAAATAAATTAACTTTATATTAACTTCTGGCTCTCCTTTCTCCTAATCCTGATCACTACAAACCTGCATCTTTCTTTTTAATTCAAAGTATTCAAAACCTTGTGTAGTTGAAAGGGTTAAATCAAAGAACAGGCTAGCTGTTGAGCTGGTAGCTAGGTGGCGCCATAGTGCACAGAGCACTGGGCCTGGAGTCAGGAAGAGTCATCTCCCCGAGTTCAAATCTGGCCTCAGACGCTTACTAGCATTGTGACCTTGGGCAAGTCATTTAACCCTCTTTGCCTTAATTTCCTCATCTGTAAAATGATCTGGAGAAGGAAATGGCAAACCACTCAACTGTCTCTGCCAAGAAAACCCCAAATGGGGTCACGAAGAGTCAGACATGACTGAAAAACAGCAATAGCTCTTTTTTTGAGCTTCTTTTTTTATCATTGTCACCATGAATTCTGTCTTATCCAAGGTTAAAAGACTAGGCTTGTTTCGCTTTTCTTTTTAAGCGACAGGGATAGTTGATTTCAAGCCATCCTCCAGTTCTCCATTCTTAGAGTCATAGAATCAAGGCATCTTTGAAAGCTGCTCTCCAACCACCTCATTTTATAAATGGGGAAAATTCCCAAGGCCCTAAAATGATGAAGTGACAGGGGCATGCTCTCCTCCCGTATCTGGCTGCTTCCTGTTTAGGGTCTCAGTTAAGTAGGGAGAATGGACTTCTGGAATCCGTGTGTCTTTAGGGAGTGAAATAAAGATAAACTACCGTCTGAGGTCATATTAGCGCCTCACTCTGGGGCTTTCTAGAAGGCTCTGGATTTGGGGGCCGCTTCCTTATCTGGGGCTTTCCATGTACATCAGTGAAATCTCTCTCCCCTGACCTCTCCTTGGTATTTACTTAGACTCATAGGGCCTTAGAATCATCCAAATCACTTGCCTAGTTTTACGGATGAGGAGATGAAGACCCTCAGAGGTCAAATGCCTCACTTGTGATCAGGTTGCTCAGGATTTGAACCCAGGTCTGTAATGGAAGCCCCTTGGATTCAGGAACTGCTTTGCTATTGTCTTTCTATCCAGTGCCTGGCTCAGAAGTGGTATTTAACAAATGCACCGCGATTGAGACTTGGTTGTTGAATGAATGAACAGACACACGAAGGCAAGAAGGGACGGTTGGTTTTGTTTCTGCAGCACCCAGCACAGTGCCTGCCATGTAGTAAAAACTCAGTACCTCTCACTGAATTTAATTGAGTTGACCTTAAAGGATGCTTGGCCAACATGGCGGCCTTGTATGTGTTGGGTTTTTCTATCCTGATGACCTGAGCTGTACAGTAACGTCATTTTCTTTTCTAAATGTCTTTGTGCTTCTTATTTTTGTATCAAATACATCCTCCCCTCCCCTTCCTAGAGAGCCTGACCTTGGAACAAATTGTTAACCCCCCGAAACAGTTCAGGGAAACCAAGCAAACTCATCACGCATCAGCATTTCTTACCCATAGCCCTCCGCTCCTTCAGCCAAAGGAGGAAGGTGGAAGAGTATCATTTTTGGAAGAAAACCTGAATGTGCCTTTGTTCTGTTGTGCACCTGTCTTTCAGGACCCGGGGTATCCTCCACTCCTTCTCCGGGACGGAGACCAACAAAATCTGGCCGTATGTTTACTCGCTGTTTTCCAACAAGATGGCGTCTGTTGGAGTGAAGACGGCCTGACGGGCCTGTAGCATGGAAGAATGGGAGGACGTGCTTGTTCATTAAATTGTGTGTGTGGTATCGGTGCTGTGTTCAAATTAGAAGCTAATCGAGATCACTTGAAGCGCCTTCCTTGGGTATCCCAGGGAGGGGATGTCAAAATGAATCTGTACAGAGAGGTGACCAAAAAACAGGGCCCTCTTCCACTTAGGAAGGAAGTCTCAAAAGGCTTTAAAAAATACTCGACATTTGTCTTGACCCCCTCAATGAGCGCAGGCTGTCTAGGCACCAAGTCCTGGATGACTTATCTAACCTGTAACTCATTTGGAATGGGCATGTGGTTTTCCATTATGGCATCCTCTGGGAGGTAGTGAGGGGTAGTGGTGGGATGGTGCCCCACAGGGCTGCCAAGCCACAGAGCCTGAGGACTAGAGGCCTCCAAGGATGGTGGCCCCGTCTGGATCACAGAAGCTCCGCCTCTGTCTTCACCCTTGTAGCCAAAGCCAGCCATTCCCATTGAGTCTGCCAGAGAGTTCTCTGGGATTCTGGTTGATGTCCGCTTTCCTTTTCTTCCTTTGGGGTGTGAATGCTATCTCCTCCTCCTCTAGCACCAGAAGATTTTTTTCATGCCCTCTGAGGAGAAAGGTGTAAGGACCCCCTTCTTCCGTTGCTACTCAGCCTCCCCTTTCCCAAGATGCCCATAGCTAATAGTGGAGAAGGCTATCCCTTGGACACCTCCTGACGTCCGCTTAGGATGGAATGAATAGACTCCATTCAAACGCCAGGGACTGAGTTGTATGTGAGAACCTTAAATTCCAGATTTGAGTTTCCCCTGTGGCACACAGCCCCATTCCTTTCGTGGAAGGCTAGGCCCCTCAGCATCTCACATAGAGTACCCCCACATCATCTCAAGGTGCTGAAGACCACATCTCAAATACTCAAGCAGTTTAAAAAACTTGTGGGTACTTCACTAGAGGTAGTCTGGTATAGCGGATAGGGCGCTGGCCTTAGAGTGAGGAAGATCTGAGTTCAAAACCCCTTCCTGCAGATACATACTTCCTGGCTGTATGACCCTGGGCAAGTCCCTTAACCTCTCTCTGCCTCTGTTTCCTCATTTGTAAAATGAGGGGGTCAGATGAGATGATCTCTGAGGTCTCTTTCCAGCTCTAAATTTTGGATCCCAGTTGAGTAAAAGGACGCTTTAGTTATTGTTCGGAATAAACCACATTCAAAAGATGCTGCTAAATGTTAGTGCCAAGGACTGGGAGATAGAGAGGCCTGTAGCATATTGAAAAGACACTGGAAGAAACCCTGTGCCCTCGCTGTGTCTAGACCACCGAGCAGGACAGCTTTGCTACTCCAGGATAGAGGGCTTCCATGTGGGCTTGGGGAAAAGGGTCCCACAGGGTTAGGCCCCGATCCTGATTTTCCTCTGGAAAATCTAGAAAATGCCATTGATTCCTTCTGCCTTACACCTCAGGAGCGTCCTCTGCCCATGCCTGGGAGGAGATTCTCTGCTAGTGTTTCTGCTAGTGTTTCTGCAAAGGACCCCTCCCCCCATGGAGCCCTGCATGCTGATGGGAAGAGGAGCTGATCTCAGAGCTTCTGTTGGCGAAGCTGAAATGCATCATCTACTCAGTGAAGCGTTCCTTGACATCTCAGCCACACCCCTTTCATTTGGTGTCTTAGCATCACTGAACTGGAGATTCTATACATTAAAAAAATGACCCACTCAGCTTCTCGCCAAACTGTCTTTCCTTCGCTCTGCCCTCCTGATGGAATATGTTAGTTGTGTTTCCTTCTGGCTGTCTTGATGGGGAGCCAAGTTTTCTACTGTTTTATTGGGTGAGTGGGTGGGTGGCAATGTAAAGGGAATGTTCATTTTTCTGATTTGTGTGATTAAAATGCCCTGTGTGGGCTTCTGGAATGTGGTCATTGTATCATGTTGACTTAGCAGTCCTAGGGGAGGAAGACTGTCTGAAGGACGGGAGAGAGCTCCAGCTGGGAACCAGGTGTATTAGCTACTCCTCATGCTAGTGAGGGAAAAGTCAGGGAACATGGCAAAACAGCTGGTATTTATATAGAAATGGCAGAACACCACATGGCAGCAACAGTAATAATAGCGATTCTATGTCGGGCTTTTAGGTTTGCCAAATGCTTCATGTGTGTTTCATAGGTGACTGTCATCTCCCACCTCCACGCCTTTGCACAAGACATCCTTCCGTGCTTTCCCATCTTTTCCTTTTGGAACCCCTAGCTCCCTTCCAAGGCCACCTCTTTGATGTGACCTTTCCTGATCTCGGTTATACCTTTCTGCAGCCTGATGACTTATCTAACCTGTAACTCATTTGCATGGGCTGCCTCCCATCACAGGGCATTTACTTTGTGTCTGCCTGGGTCTGCTTATCTGTGAAGCTAGATGTCTGTGTTAGAATGAAAGAGCCTCCTGCAGCCGCAGTTTCCTTGTCTCTGAAATGGAGACAATAGTACCTATATCCCAGGGTGGTTGTGTGGATCAAAGAACACACTATAAGGCAGACATGGGTGTTAGCTTTTAATGATGATAAACTCATTTGGGGCAAGAGCTTGCAGGTTACCTTTTGTCTGTCTGCCCGGCACTTTCTGTGTGCTTGTTACCTGGTAGGTACCTAGTAAATGCTTTTACTAGGGGGTTGTGAAGGATTGAGATGATTCTCTTTCAAGAGAAGAACACAAGCTTCAGCATTTGGATGTTGTAATTGAAAGATTTTATTTTTCATTGCATTTATCCTGAGTATATTACCTCCACGGAAATCTGTATGAGAAGGGATGTCACTTTGTTTGGTCTATCTCCCGTCTCTCTTGTCACCATCCCTGACTAGGGCTGTTCAGCCTCTGCTTGGCCACCTCCAGTGCTGGGCCGTTCATTACCGTGGTGTCCCAGTGCCGGAAGGAAGAGCTGTCCAGCACCACCGACGAATTCAAGGTCAAACCTCTCCCTTTCTTTGTAGGGTCTGATCCTAATATGTTTAATCTTTGACTTAAGGAGCCTGGGTAGAACAGTAAACGGAGTTCTGAATCTGGAAATGGAGGGCTGGTTTCCATCTTAGCTCTGCTCTCACCGCCTGGTAACCCCCTTGGGCCTCAGTATCCTCATTTGTAAAATGAAGGGGTTGGACTCAGACACCTCTGAGGACCCTTCTGGATTTGAAATCTCTGTTCCTATGACTTTAGCCAGGTTGGGGTGGATGAGTGTTAACTGAAAAAAAGGTGGGGATATCTGGGTTCTGTATTTCGTAGGATATTTCATTCACTAGGCTCTTACTATGTGCTAAGCACCAAGGACACAAAGTAAACAGTCCCTTCTTACAAAGAGCCTGTGTTCTACGGAGGTGATGTATTCAGATAAAAACTCATTTGAGAGGGAGGGGCTGGGAGGATAAGGGTCAGTACAAGCTGAGTGGTGGTGGTCAAGGTAAGTTGCTGGTGTATGGGGGACCATGGAGGTAGGGAATGGAATATCTCAGGGTTGTTGGAAGAATAAAATGAAATAACATGTAAAATGGTTTGCAAACTTTGAAGTGCTACATATACGCTTACTGGCTGTTATTCGTCTTGTGTGCTGGGAAACAGTAAGCTGGTTTGAATCCTTGGATTGCTCTCATTCCTGTCCCCTGATAGCTACTGCCATCAGAAAGCAGCCGGTTTTGTCCCAAGATATGCTCTGAACATCACCGGCTGCTGGGATGTGCCTTAAGCAAACTCTGGGTTGTGAGGCTATTCCTTCTTGGGCCTGCAGTCCTCTCTACTCGGCTTACACCTGTTGGGGTGCCCAGTCAACGTCGTCGGGCACCTGGCCAGCGTCGTCGGGTCAACATCATCGGGCGCCCAGCTGGCGTCGTCGGGTCAACGTTGTTGGGCGCCCAGCTGGTGTCGTCAGGTGGGCGCCGGGTCAACGTCATTGGGTGCCCGGTCTCCAGCTCTGCTTGTTGAAGGGCTTTGCCTAGTAGAAAACACTAGACTCTGGAGTCAAAGGACTCAGCTTCATCTGTACCTTTGTGCCTTAGGCAAATAACTTCAATTCTCTGGGTCTCGGTTCCTCCGTCAGTTAAAGGGGATTAGACTAAATGGCCTTCACGTTCCTTCCAGCTCTAGATGTGTGCTGCAGTAGCTGAATCAAGTTTCCTTTCTGTTACCCCACAGTACCATGGGGAGGGGCGTCATCAGGGCAGCAGTCTTCATTCACACATAGGGCTAAGGACTAAATCTCATTGCTCTAGGGAGCTCCAGGAGGAGGACACTCCCTCCGCCAGTGCAGGTGGGCACCTCTGCCGCCCAGGCCTGCAGTGCCAGTCACTAGAGCACAGTGCAGTCTGACTCCAGAATTTAGAGCTGGGCGGGCCCCTCAACATCACCTACTCCAAAGGCCTCATTTTACAGATGAGAAAATGGCAAAAGGGTCAAGTGGTTTTCACAAGGTTCCCCAGGTCAGTAGCAGCGATGTGCTTTGAACATGGGTCGCCAGCATTCTGATGTAGTGTTCTTTCCTTGACACCGGGGGAAAGTCCTTCCCACTGCGGCCTCGGGCTCTCCATCCCAGTCTTCTTAAGTGTTGTCTTTGAAGGAGCATCAAGAACTCGTCTTGCCACTTAGGCCAAGGGTAGCCTCTCCGCAGAGGGGACAGTGACTGCTGGGAGACCCTGGCCATCCACCTGGAGAAACTGTTCAGACACAAAGGCCAGACTCCACTGGCAGCATTTCCAAATTCAAAATAAGTAAAGCCGGGAGGACAAATGGGGAAACTTTTTACACCATGGTACATGCGTGGAATTGGGATTTCTCAGAGGGTATGTTACGTGGGGGCAAAAGAAACCCAAGGAAAACTGTCACCTGGTTTCTGTGTTTCTGAAAATATTTTCATTAGGATTTGAGTTATTTTCACAAATTATTTTCCTAATCATACCCAATAAACTATATTCTTACACTTAGGCTACCTTAAGAGGAGACATAAGGGCTCCGTGGTGACTGTCAGAGGTGGGATCTAAACCTAGTTTTTCCTAACTTTAGATTCACCACTAGCCATTCAGCCCAATGCATAGGCTCATAAATCCAGGCCTCTGAAATTTACTGCCTATGGGACCTTGAACAAATTACTTAAACTCCCCACACCTCAGTTTCCTCATCAATCAGGTGACAGGGTTTGACGATGGTCTCTAAGGGTCTGTCCAGCCCTGGATTTATGAACCTATGAATTGGGTTGAATGGAAGACTGGAAGAGATTGGGCTCTAAGATTCTGCACTCCTTTTGTGTAAAAAATATATTAGAAATAAGACAACTTCAGGGTTGGCAACCCTTCTGGGCAGAGAGGAGTTGGCCACCAACCCTTGGAGAAGGAGCATAAAATGGTGGCTAGTGCATGAGCTTGTGCTCTTCCCATTGCATAAAGAACATTTATTAAGCCCCTGCTGAGTGCTAGCCACTGTCCTAGGCACAGGGATAAAAAACAAAACCATCTCTGTTCCTTAGATGCTACTGGTTCTTTTACTGATCCCAAGTAATCTTTCGTTTAGATACCTTCAGTAATAGAGACCTCATCTCATGAAAAAGCATTCCAATTTTTTCTTTTACATTTTTAGTAATTGAGACAAAAACTGCTTCTTGGGATCTTTCACCCATCGGTGCTAGTGTTTAGCGATAGCCCACGACAGCCCTTCTGATATTTTCTAGTTGTAATGTGAAGTCTCATCTCCTCCAGGCTAAGCATCCCCACTTTCTTCCCACGACACGGCGCCTCATCCGGTCACCATTTTGGTTGCCTTCTGGACACTCTCCAGCTTGTCAGCAGCCATTTCAACAAAAGGTAGTGCCTAGAACGGAGCACCATGTTCTGGACGTTGTCTGAGCAGGGCAGTGCTTGCTGGGGCTGGGATTCCCACTTCTGGGCACCAGTCGGGCTGGTTAAATTGGTTAACAGAGTTAAGAGAAAACAGCCCCCATCCCACATTCAGGTAAATTCAGTACGCTCCTTAACGAGGTCTGGATTTCCTCTGGTTTTAAATTCATTTCAGACTGGTCAGAAGAGTTTAGGGAAAGCATTTTCAGGACTTGCCCTGGTTCCAGCTTCCCATTATAATTCACAGTTGACCTCATTTCCACTCACAGCTTTAGAGTCTCTGTGTGCTGCCCTCTGGTGCTGAGAAAGGGGAAAGGCAGCAGAACTGGGTAGCTGGGAAGTTTTCATCAACATGGAATTTGGATTAATTCCTTTCTTGCAGTTGGAGTTTTTGTCCCTTTCCTCCCAGCTGCTAGGCCCATGCCCTCTGTCTTGGTAGCAGACACTGTCCTTCCTGGCCTTTGAGCGAAGCTTCCCTTTAATGGTGGGAACGTATCGGCCCGGTTTAGTAGGACTCTTGCAGGATTTGTCTTGGAGTCAGAGGACCTGGGTTCCAACCCCCTTCTGATATGAGCTGTGTGTTCGTGGGCAAGTCACCACCTGTGAACCTTGGTTCTCTCCCCTGAAATGAAGGGCTTGGAAGGGATGACCTATACGGTCCCTTCCAGCTCTAAATTTCATCCCTTCTTGTTTACCAATTTGGTGATTCCCTAAGGCAAAGTTGTCTTCTGAAGGCATAAAACCATAGCTCTAGAGAAGGAAGAGACTTCAAGGGTTATCGCCAGCCCCTCATTTTGGCTCGTCCAAGAACACCCAACTGGAAGACATCAGAGGCTAGATTGGAACCCAGGTATTGGACTCCAGAGC